TAGTGTATCTATAATTTTAATTTCACATTCTGTGCACCACAATCTGTCAGACAGAGTCTTCGAGTTGGGAAGTGTACACCACGATAGAAGAGGAAATACCGGAAAGGTACGTTTTTTGTAATATTTTATCGTTGTTATACAAACCTGAATGTTTAGGCTCCCCAATTTTGGTAAAGAGGTTGTATCTAGATGTATAACTCCAGTTGTAACTTTTGTATATCAAAATTTTAGAGACATAGTCTCCGAACTGAAAAACGAGAACATCGTTAGAAGAATCCATGCATATAGTGTCATAGATTGCCGGCAGTCAGAGAGTTTCAACTGTGCTCACAATTTTAGGTATACAGGTTGCAATTAGCTGCAGAATTGTAGTCCACTGTGAACATTTGTGTGAGAAGTGAAATGAAAATGGAAACGGCGTTAGTAGTGAACAGTCCCACAGACTGTTTGTTATAAGTTTGTTCGTCTGAAACGCGAAAAAAAACAATGTTTGAATGATTTTTACTTTTTTTTTTTTTGGTTTAGGCCTCTTTCTCCGCGGCCACTGGCCCGATTTCCAAAGACTATAAAGCCCTTGCATCCTTGGAATGATAGAAAGCACTTTTATGTGCCACAGTCTGTGAGGCACAGAGATGGTAATAACTATAGCTGAGGAAGTATTAGAATATACATTGACGGTCATCCGTTCAGTCTCACTCATTTTGGTCCTGAGAATATTGTCACTGGATGTACGACCAGTTACAACTTTTTGATATCATATTCCTTGAGACACAGGATTGCTTCTGTGGACAACAATAGTCGCACCAGCTTATTAACATATATCCAGTCTGACTGATAGTTTGTACCTTGTGTAGTAGCAACTATATGTACAGTTTATTTCATACTTGTTATACAAACATGAATGTTTAGGCTTGACAAGGCCAGGGGCGGAAGGGATAGATCGGGTCGGCGCAGGCAGTAACTTACTGCGACGTCGAATCGGCGCCTTATAGGATAATTTATAAGGATAGGCAGATGAGTTGAAAAGCGAAAAAAACTTGAAAAATCCATTTTTATAGGTATATAAATATTATAAAGGAAGTTAATACATTATTTTACTATTTTTAACAGCCTTTAACTGATGAGTAATAAAAAATATATTTTACACATTGCACACTAAATTAACAAAAAAAACTAACACGCAAGTATTGAAAATAAGATGCAAAACTATATAAGTACACTTAAGTAAGAATTTCATAAACAACATACAATTTACAAAAAAGGCCAAATGTACAAAGCTAGTACATAATTTTTTATTTTGAAAACATTGTGCTTATATGCCCTAAACCATTAATAATTTCATCATTCTCAATTCTATTTAAAATTTCTTTTTCGCAGTTCGTTATCATGAACGCTTCCAACTGCGACTGTGATATTGAACTTCGTAGTCGGTTTTTTAATATATTTTAGCTTAGAGAATGATCTTTTACAAGCTACTTGTGAGATTGGTAATGTAAATAAGTATTTATAGGCTAAGGCAACCGTGGGATATTATACTTCTTGCTACGTATTGTACTTAAATATTATAAAATAACAACACAAAGCACAATTTTTACAGCTTTTACACTCAGTAGTGTTTCCCTCATTGCATCCTAGAACTTTCTCCGATTCTCCAGTTGCATCGCCTTCCTTTTAAAATCTAAAGAATACTGGTCCTGAATATTTAATTTTAATGAGTCCTAGTTTGATATAAAATATTCCAATTCAGTATGTAGACCATCAAGAGTTACAATTGAATTGATTAATATATAGGCCTTTAACTATCTTTGGGGATATTTTCTTTTATATCACTAAAATTCTTAGGATCCAAGATACTAAAATCCTTACATATCACAAAATATTTTTGAAAGCGATTTTCCATTGACTGCACGATAGTATCAAGAATGACGTTAAATGTCTCTATTTTGTATTTGTCATTTTTATTCCCCGATCTTTCATCATAAGACCCTTCTCGTGGCATTTTTTTAACTCGTCTTGTCCGTACCTCTGGTAAATCGATTTCAATATTAATATCACTATTTTCTGGGTCAGTTTTGTCTATTTTATCTAGCGCCCACGTCACAAAACTATCGGTGGTTTTCTGAATGTCAGGAAAATTTCGTTGAAAATCTTTTAATTGTTTCAGGGCTGTCTCTGTCATGTTATTACATTTGATAAAATATAACCCTTCTGTTTGCAAATATCTAGATAATGTCCCTATTATAGAAAAAATCTTAAGAAACACATTAGCAGTTAGAATAACTTCATACTTTTGTAAAGATTCTCGGGAATTTTTAGCCATAGCACGAACATCCGGATTTATGGTTGAAGTAGTTTAGATAGATTCTAAGGCAAATAAAAGTTCAATAAACAGTGCATTTTGTTATTACAGCAACGACTCCCTTATAAACTCCTTGCATATTTGAAGCACCATCAGTCAAGTAAGGCTATGCACTGCGTTTCATTTAAATTATTTGCTTCTATTTCATTTATTATTAAATTGTGTATCCTGTAGAATCATGACAGTCTACAAATGAAAGCAATCTCTCAAAAACTTGTCCATGAAATACATATTTGATTGCAAGAGATAATTGATCTGTAGTAGACACATCTTGACTTGTGTCTATTTCTATAGAATACATTCCAGCTTCTCGAATTTCGTCTGAAATGATTTTCTTAATTTTTTTTTTACAGAGTAGTTTTTGACAAAAAAGATGTAAAATCTCCAGGGCGAGTTTTCATTCCTTGATCATGTATTTCTTTGCTTTGTGGAATTATTTTAATTAAGTGTTCCCTCATTATTACGTCGTACTTAGGTATCAATAATATTATCTCTAGAAAATGTCCGTGATCTAGGTTCTCGTTGGCCAGTGAGTAACCTGCTTTGTCTTCCTTTCCTCTATAACTTAAATCCGTCGTTCCAATCAGTTTTATTACATTTATAATTCTATCAAAAACCTGCATATTTCTTGTTATATTTTTTTGTTGCAAAGCCAGTTGACTTGTAAATAATAGTTTATTAATTGAAGTATTACTACAAAATCGAAAATATGCAGAGGAATAACTGACGTACATTACGCAATTTTGGTCCTCTTCAATACGTTGATACACGTACCTCCAATCCGACACACCAGTAATAAAAGCACTAGTATCTGTGCTTTTGCTAAACGCCAAACAAAGCATGCAAAATAACGCATCTTGTGATGAAGTATATGTTAACCATTGTCGTGGGGTACCATTACTAGCTTTGAAGGCTGCCTGACGGTTAAATTTCTCGTGACTTGTTGGGACTTTGGGGTGGTTATGAAAAAATATATTTAATTCACCTTGTGTAGGTCTTTTGAAAAAATATTCCGAATTCTGACCTTCTACATTATTTCTAATTTCAGGGTTCGGGCTTGGATTATGTGTAATTTGTTCATCGTTGACCATTTCTTCTTTTGTTGACAAATGATCCTTTGACTCGTGAATGTTCTTTTCGCTTTCCGTGTTTTGCAGTTCACTTAGTATGACGTAGCCATTGTCTGGACATGTGGAGCTTTCTGTGGCGGATACAGATAGAATTGTGTTGTTTTGTGCTGATGTACTTCCAAACATTGATTGTAAATTTTTACATTTTCTTGCTTCTTGAGCCAAACGCTCCTTTTTCTTTTCCCTCTGCCTTTCGGCGCCGTCCTTTTTTCGTTTTAAACAAGAGGTATTAATTTTTCACTACAAAAATAATATATCGGTTACTTACCTAAGTACGCTTGACAAACATCGTCATATTACCTAAACGCACGCTGGATGTCGACACTAACGCACCTACACTGACACTGCTGCAACAATCGACAAATGTTACTCAAACCAAAAACTCGAACGTAAATAAGAAGATTTTATATAAATAGGAAAAGAGGCTGCCGACGCACCTACGTACACGAGAGCCGTTGTTAGCGATACGCAATGCTGCTGAATCTCATATGTGGCATTTTCGTCTCGGACAATCTTGCGAAGTGCGTTCAAAAACTGAAGGACATTTGATTTATAATGGTTTAAAATTACCCAGAAATAAATTTAAAGGCGATATTATTTTTTAAATTCTGGAACAAGTTAATGAGAGAATTTCTATTTCAATATATTTTTTAACCGTACTGTAACGGCGCCAAACCAACCGGCGCACCGGGCAATTGCCGGTGGGCCCATCCGCCCCTGGTAAAGGCGTTGTATCCAGTTGTACGACTTCAGTTACAACTTATGGATATCAAAATTTTAGTCAAACAGTCTCTGAACTGAAAATCGTTAACATCGTTAAAAGTTGCACCGACTTTAGGATGGACACAGGATGCAATTAGATGTACAATTCAGTCCACTGTCAATATTTGTGCGAGAAACGAACTGAAAAAGGAAACATCCTTAGAAACAAACACACTGTTTGTTGTCAATTTGTTCGTCTGAAACGTGAAAAAACAATGTTTTAGCGATATTTTTCAATTCTCAAAACTAAACTTTGCGTCCTTGGCATTGTAGCAACATTATAAGATTAGCGGACAACCGATAACCGACAAAATGAACGAAATGGTTTTTCGTGACGTAAATGTCATACGAGTATAATATCCAAAATAGTAATAATATCTTATTTTAGTTCAGTTCAGTTCAGTATCAGATTGGTGCTTGCAAAGCGAACGGCAGATCGGCACGGCTCACTGTGGGGGTCATAAATAAGGATTTTTTTCCGAAAAAAAAAACATGAAGAACTAAAATGACGATTGAATAAGAATGAGAAAAAGCAGTAAAGTTATTGAAAGAAGTGTAAAGCCGAGGGACTTTTTTGAAAAGCACTGAGTCATCACGCTTGCCGTAGTAAGTACATATACAGTCTGCATGTTTAATATAGTATATAGTATATAATCCTACTCTGATGGCTTCTTTGGTTCTCTGACAACTATAGCATCGGCTTGACTTTTTTCATTTCAAATTACAGAAATCTATTTCTTTTGTTTCAGACAAGCATCTCAATTGTCAAAGAAACTGTGCCAGGAGCATGCTCAGATCCTCACAAATGTGGACAGTCTGCGGCGTGTTGAAGCACATGTTGCCGCATGTTTGTCGTCAATGCTTGAGCCGCAACATGTTGCAGAAGGTTTCCATTGCCAGCACGTCGTTGCGGCACAAAGGACAATATGAACAAGTGCAATTCTGAAAAAATGGCGTCAAGTAGGTTGACTCTGCACTTTCTACGCAACTTTCACAAGGGTTCGTAAAGTATTATGTTCAGCACAAGCTGGCCCCTCCGAGATAAAAGTTAACTACGGACACGTAGAACAAAAACATTAACGGGATCAAGTTATTCAAACAGACTCATACAATTATGGTTTGTATATTTTACTTTCTTTTTTTGGGCAATTTTGGAGCTCTTTAGGATTTGGCTGCCTGATAAAATATGCTCTTCCTCGCGCTTCAGAAAGTTTTGGAGGTAGTAATGTTTTCACACAAAAGTTACCTCTTGTCGATGGACGGCCCTCCTCCTTCCGTTGAGAAGAATTCCTAAGGCCGCATATGCTACTTCAAACTTGCATCGCCATAGTTTTCACTAGGTTATGTTCGTTTCAACAGGGGGCAAAAATCACTTAGTTCCGACGTTGGCTTTTATTGTAATAAAAATCCTTATTCTGATCCCTTGGGATAAATATATACATTTGAGTTTTGATGCACGCATAGTGAAACACCACCGATCAACTGTCTACCTTCGGCCTTACAACAAAGTCATAAAATGTATTCAAATATGATTTATTATTAGTCCTTCTATCCTAATCTGGAAATATGTCAACTTGCCCAAACAGATCGAAGCTGTTTATACTGCTTCCTTGGATTGTATGTTTTAAGATTGATATTGAGTTGAAAATGCATTCGAATATGATTTATTATTTATCAGTACTTCGGTATGTGCCCAGACAGATTGGAGTTCTTTATACTGTTTCTTTGGAAATTATATGTTTTCAAGATTGATATTTATCTAAAATATAAAAATTAATTTGTCAAACGCATCTTACGTATCTTACTTGGAATAGAGTCGATTGGTTTCTGTGAAGGAGTGGAGAAACAAAAGCAACGAAATAAGAAGTAAGACTGGAAAATTGATGAATTGTTATACCTATATCATAGGTAAGTGAAGGTTTTATACAGGAATGTCGCATCGGGAACATCATCGATAGATTTCTCGAAAAGTAGGCATATGATATTTTTGAAAATTGGGAGTATACTAACGTCGATGGGGCAACGGCAGCTAAAATATTTTCAAGATGGTGGCCCTTCCAGTTTTACCGGAAGTTGATGCCAACTTGCTTATTTCGTAATGTATATTACTTAATATTCGGATTCTACATAAAATTCTAATCACATTTCATGTATAATCACCGTTTTTTAAAAATTTCAAATTTTATGTCAAAAATGACGTTTGCAGGCTCAAAAATAATTGTTCATTTTCCCTATATACGAGGGATGTCTTTTAAGTTTTGCATATGGAAATAAAACAACACGTTAGGTAGTTTTAAATTACTTTATTGTTTTTCGAAGTATTCTCCATGAAGATTAATACACAGCTGCATGCGGTCGAACCAATTTTCGAAGCACTTGTTCCACTCGTTTGCTGGCAGATCCAAAACGGCATTTTTGAATGCGCCAACTGCTTCTTCTGGTAAGTGGAACCTTTGACCATTCAGTCTGTTTTTAATTTTCGGGAAAGTAAAGAAATCGTTAGGACTTAGATCGGGACTATATGGAGGATGGTGCAATAATTCCACGCTTCCGTTAAATACTGCCTTGTTTTTTGGGCTGTGTGCGAGGTTGCATTGTCTTGGTGGAGGATGATTCTTCTTTCGGGGTTGATTTTTCGAAGCTCGGCGATGACTTTTGGAAAACAAATGGTGGTATACTAATCCGCAGTAACAGTTCTTTGCTCATTAAGAGGAATTGTTGCAATATGACCCGCTTTTGATACAAATGTAGCGACCATCTTTTTCGAAACACTTCGAGAACGTATGACCTTTGGCTTTTCTTCACCTTGGAACACCCAAACAGCCGACTGTCGTTTATTTTCTGGTTCATAACAGTAAATCCACGATTCATCACCACCAACGATGCTGTACATATTTTTTGAGTTTCCGGAATTGAAACGGTCAAGCGTTTTTTGACACCAACTAACCCTGGCTGCTTTCTGCTCTTCAGTCAACAGGTGGGGTATCCAACGAGAAACTAATTCTCTTACTCCTAATTCTTCATGTAAACGATGAAGCCATCGAAATAGCAGTTTTGGGGTATTTTTATGCTTTCCCAATGACGTCTTTACGACAAGCTGCACGAGAGTCAGGTTTTACGAAAGATACCATTAGCAGAATTTTGCACAAACACAATTTTTATCCACACAAGCTATTAGTCCGACAGTTGAAAGAAACCGATTTTTTTAAACGATTTCAATTTTGCGACTTGATTATTACAAGGTATCAAGAAAATCATTCTTTCCTAAAAAATATTATACGCCTTTTCAAACGACACAATTATCATTATTGGGCTAACGAGAACCTTCATGTAATAAGAGAAAGAAACTTTCAATACAATTGGTAATTCAATGAATACTGAGCTGTCAGAGGTAGTCAAGTTGTTTCTCTTCAGTTTTATGAAAAACATTTAAATGGTAAGTTAGCAATTAACAGTTTTTTTTTATAAAAGAAACTGATAAGCATGTGCAATACGCAAATACCAGCAGTATAAGTTTTTTAACACATAAGGTCAGCATTGCCAATATTAGTACTGATTTATCTCATTATTGTAAGGGGTGGAACATATCTTGATCTCCTTTTATGAACCATACTCGTCATCTTGGAGGGATACTTATAAGCCGCGTGCACAAGTATTCAACGCTAGTCTTCGAAACTCCTTAAACCGCCAAGGTCACATATCACTCTTTGAAAAATCATCTATAATAGGTATCAGTATTTTTATATTCTGTATAAAATTACTGTGGGCCAGATCTGGCGCATATGGTGGGTAGTCTACAAATTGAAGGCCCGCTTGGTCTGAGGCAGCAAATCAATTTGACATATTAACACGTTCACTGCGAACGACGCTGATCCGCGTCCGACCGATGTTTAACGAAAGGCGGCGGGCGCGGATCCGCGCTTCTGGCTGATATAAACTCACAAGACTGTGGTGTTGTCAGTTTGTACCGCACTCGCTTTCTGTTTGGTCACCTACATATTGAACATCTTTTTGGACTATACTAAGTGACATATAAATCCGAACACCCAGTTTATATGGTTTCATTTTAATAAAATTTCGTATAAGTACTTAATGAAGCATAATAAGTAAATGATAAAAATTTCAAAATGATTGCACTGCTTTAAAGCCCTTTGACCTTTAATAATATGTGGATGCACTCTGATGTGCTACGCATTCTCCAACGCGCCTAGGCATGCATCTGATCAGGTGGTCAATGTCCTCCTGTGGTATCTCATTCCAAGCAACCACCAACTCCTCTCGAAGTGCTTCTAGAGTCTGAGGAGGACGTTGCAAATTGAGCAATCTCCTACCCATCATATCCCACACGTGCTCAATTGGGGATAAGTCGGGAGATCTTGGTGGCCATGGTAACAATGTGACATCATTATGTTGAAAGAAGTCTATTGTGACTCTTGCAACATGTGGTCGGGCATTATCTTGTTGGAAAGTTGGATCTGCCAGGGTGTCAAGATAGGGTAAAAGATGGGGTTCTAGAACTTCGTGGATATAACGCTGCGCGTTCATGTTACCTCTGATGAAGATTAAAGGTGACCTGGGACCATAAGCTATAGCACCCCAAACCATAACTCCAACAGTGTGATGAACATGTCTTTCAACAAAAAATTGTGGATTCCTCCTTTCACCACGTCGCCTTCTAACCCTGGCACGACCATCGTGCATGCCTAAACAAAATCGAGACTCGTCACTAAAGACAATACTGTTCCATTCCTGATCCCAAAGTGACCGTTGTCTGCACCACTCAAGGCGATTACGTCGGTGTTCTCGAGTTAAAGGGAGGACCCAGTGTGGCCGGTATGAAAACAAGCCAAAACTTCTCATTCGTCGGTAAACACTTCGCATGCCAATAGGTCTTCCGTGTTATGCAAACCATTCATTTGCGATGGACCTGGTTGTGGAAAACGGTCCCTTAAGGCCAATAATCTTAGGCGGCGATCCTCACGGTCTGTTGTTCTACGGCGGCGTCCAGTGCCCCTTGCTCTTTGCGTACGGCCTTCTCGAAGCCATGCCTGACAACACCTAACCACAGTGTCTACACTTCTTTGCACTCTAACTGCAATTGCCCGAAAAGAAAGTCCAGCTTCCCGAAGTCCCACTATACGGCCCCTATCAAACTCACTAAGTTGACGAAATCGTACAGGTCTCCGTACTCTAGGCATCGTAACCGATCGTAAAGGATGTCAAGAACCAAAATCCGACAAAGTTGATTCGTTACTGCGGCTGAAATATTCATTTTTAGAGGGTTAGTGAATTAAAAAAAAAGCAGTATAAAAACCGGAATGTCCAACTGATAAGGCTGAAAATTTTTTCACTTGTTATTTACAGTAAGATAAATACATTCACCAACTTTTATTAAAATAAAACCATTTAAACTGGGTGTTCGGATTTATATGTCACTTAGTATATTTTACGCGTAGGATCAAGTTTCGTTTATTTTTACATTGCGCAATGATGTGGAAGCAGGTTGTTCACGTCCAAAACGAGTGAAAACGTATTGTAACCGTAATAAAGGGCTTACAGAAAAAGAACTGTATGATATTCTTGCCAATTCGGGGAGTGAAATCGAGAATCTAAGTGACTCAGACAATTATGTTCCCAGTTCAGATGGAAGTGAGCAGTCTGATGGAAATATGTCTGAAACGACTGATGATTTTTTCAGCCCACAGAAAAATCTTTAATAGGGTTTCAGGACATGTTTCGTGTTACTGCACGAAAAAAAAAACGAGATAGAAGAAGAAAATGTATATATGAAATAGTTTTCAATTACACAACGCACATCCAATAGGCTTACGACGCGAATCCGCGCTTCGCTTGTGCAGCGCCTAAAATCGTTTAGCCGCTACAGTGCGCGCGGCGCTACTAAGGTCACTTGTGCTACTGCAAGTGGTATTAACACGATGAAAAAAAACATGATCCACAATGATAAACAGGTTTAGATACCTGAAACGTGATTTAAAAGTTTTATACATATTATCAAGATATTGAGGAAACAAAAAGAGAATACGATAAATAGAAATATACTCGTAGATCATACATGGAAATCTATCGGAGAGCTCATATAAGCTCTAGCTTCATAAGATTTACAGATGAATTGAAGTTGAATCAATCGGTTTAGGAAATATGGCTCATTTGAAAAAATTGAAGTGCTAAAGTTTCGTTTATACGCAAAAATAAGAAATTTTTGAGAAAGTAAGAACTGGCGTTATTGGAAATCGGTTTTTCTTGGATATATTTTGAACGACAATGCATCATTCATCGAACTTTTGACAGCTCAGTAAAGAATTGCAGTTTGATTTGGTGGTGTTCACGGAAAACAATTGACTCACTTATAACGCCAGGAATGCACTAGCCCCAGTGCAATATTGCTAACAAATTTTACATCCCGTATAGTAAGGGCACAAATACTATTTTGAAAATGCCTAACGTTTTAGCTGAAAAAATGTATTCCCGTTTATGTTCGATTTTGAGAAAGACAAATCTAAGACTGAACTAAGTGATCTAAAAGTGTATATCGGTGCTTCTCGGTCTATGATTATGGATCTGTTAGCAGAATTACTATATTTGCAAAATGGCGTGACCAATACACTGGATACGATGTCAAAATTAATAGAACTATACTGAAAATTAATTCAACTGTGTTTTTGCCAAAAACGGTGTATCGATATCAAACAACTTTTTCATATCTAAGATCAGGCTGTCCAAAAATGTTATCGTGGACCTTTATCATATAAGGTGTAATAATTTTTGGAGGCATTGTGTGGTTAGCCTATTCCAAGCGATCTAAATGAATTGTTTGCATCTTTTTGCATTCTATATCCATACGAGAAATTGACATATCATTCTGGGACACCCTGTACAGACATTTTGATGACCTGATATTATTACAAACCTTACCAGTATTTCAGATGGTGACGAATAGGAGTATAGATCTTTTTGTGACACTTCAACAGATTGTTCGAACCCTATAATGTGAAGACTTTACATGACTTAAGTTAATAAGTATGGCAATTATTACAGGGGAAATACTTTTTAAAAATAAGATCCAACTTATCTGAGACGTTACGCAAAATTTCAAACATTCATTGTTTACATGATGTAGAACGCTGACATACTGATTCTATCATGACGTTTGCCTAGCAGTCTGGTATTCTGAAAAAATAATAGTAAGGGCTATAACCATCTTTATACAAAATACTATAGGAGACATCTTTGGGCAATGTTCAATTATATCTGAATATCATTACCTTAATCAGACAACCGCTGTTTCGGTAGCAGTACTATATTTCAGATAAGTTATGTTCTGTTTGAGGGAGCTAGTCTCAAAAATATTTCAAATACTTAAAACAACGCTATTGAAACGCACCTGAAGAATTGCACACATTTTTTTATTAATGAAACTAAAATAAAAAATTATACTGTTCAAAAAAAACATTCAATCCATCTCAAAAGCTAGGTATAACTTCGAACATCCATTTTTTACATGACGGAGAACGCTGACTTACTGATTCTATCATGACATTTCCCTAGCAGTCTGATATTTTGGTAAAAATGGTAGTGAGGACCTTTTCAGTCATCTTCAATACAATATACAACATTTGTTTCAGAAAATGATGAGGGAGACCAAAGAAGTAGATGCTGCCAAGACATCTTTGGGCAATGTACTATTATATCTGAATATCATTACCTTAATCAGAGAACCACTGTTTTAGTAGCAGAACTACATTTCAGGTAAGTTATATAGCGTAAGCATAGTGGTTAGAGGTCGTTTTTGTAGAACAGTCTCTGAGATAATGCAGGGCGCTCTGCGCGCTGTGGAATCATGGTGTAGGGGAGTTCATCTTCCTGTCAACGCTGGAAAGAGCGAGCTGATCCTATTCACTAGGAGAAGAAGGCGTGACGGGGTTGTCTTGCAGATTTTTCTTGGGACTAGATTAGTTCTATCCCAATCAGTCAAATATCTAGGAATTATCCTGGATTGTAAACTGAACTGGAGAGAGCACGTTGAATTTGAGGTTAACAAGGCTCACGATTCATTGTGGGCTTGTAAACGCGTTGTCGGCGTAAGGGAGGGCTTACACCCAAAGTGGTTCACTGGCTCTACACGGCTCCTTAGTTTGGAGGCCCTGCATTGGAACTGAGTTAACTAAGGCCAGATTCAATAAAATTCAGCGTTTGGCCTGTATTAGCATTATAAGCGCAGTGCGGACAACACCATTGAGTGCAATGGAAGCTCTGCTGTATCCCTCACCGTTGGATCTAGTGATCGGCGGAGAAGCAAGGGTAGTCGCTCATCGACTGTGGAGTCTGAGCAGCTGGGGCTTCTTGAATCCTGTCAAGGGTCATACTGCCATCCTTGTCGAACTATAAAGGTAGGATCCCGTCCTTCTAAGCAGGGGTGATACGATTACCCCTAGATATGGCTTCAACCGCAAGTTTATTGTGGAGTATTCAACGAGGGAGGAGTGGGACACCGCTTGCCGGAGGCTCACCGGAGTGAGTGGGCAAGTCTGGTACACGGACGGCACGGTCACCGAAAAGGGCTCTGGCACTGGGGTTTCGGCGCCTAGGACTAGGCTGTCTCTGCCTCTTGGTGGATACACCACTATTTTCCAGGCGGAAATCGTTGCGATTCTGGCTGATGTATCCCTCATTTTGGAGGGGGTGGGCCTAGGAGAAGGATAAAAAACTTCTCCGACAGCCAGGCTGCAATGAAGGCACTAAGTGCCTATCAGATCACTTCGAGCCTTGTATTGCAATGCAGGGAGGCTCTGGATTGTCTTGCAGCGTGGCATCTGGTATCGTTAGTGTGGATACCGAGGAACCGAGGCACGCTGCGATAAAGGGAAATGAGACGACGGATGCTCTGGCGAAGACAGGATCAGTCAGCAAGCAAGTTGGCCCTGGGCCAGCTTTAGGGGTGCCCGCGCTAAGGGTTAGGAGGGAAATGGAGAAGTGGATTGCAAGAAAACACTCTCCGAAATGGAGAAGCATTTTGAGACATCGACGTCAGGCACGGAAACCAGCGCTAAGGATAGTCGTTTATGCTTATGTTTGGATAGAGCCAACCTAAGGTTGCTGGTGGGACTGTTGTCTGGCCATAACACGTTAAGGCGACACCTGCACGTGATGGGGGTGGCTGAGTATCCCTTGTGTGAGCGCTGGGGGGAGAGGCAGAGACCTCGGCTCTTAGCTACTACAGGCAGACTATACTGGGGTCCATCGCTTTGGACACCCAGGACGTTAAGGAGCTTGAACTCAAGACCATACTCAACTTCGCTAGAATGACGAGGTTTGAGGTCTAAGGAATGTCGAGGTGCACAAGGGCCCCTGTAAGTGGCCCATGCGCTGGCTCCTTATGGTGGCCGGTATGTCCCTAATTCCATGTTTCATTTATTCATTCAAGTTATTTAGTGTTTCAGGGAGCTAGTCTCAAAAATATTTCACATATTTAAAATGTTCAAAGTTCGTTTCAGAGGCTCCTGTCCTTTTTCAGGAAAAAATATGTTGGTTTACTCAATCTAAGTAAACGGTTTTGAAAATTTTAATGATTGCGTTTTGGTTTAATCAAACTAGCTTCATAGATTAAAGTATACTGTTTTAGAAGCCGGAGTTTTATTAAACTAATGAATCTTGTTAGCTGTCACACAGTTAATAAAATTTTTTAATTGGACTTATTAAAATTTTACTTTGTTTTAATTAAATTCAGCATATCGGCCAATATAAATTGTAATGTTACTGATACAGACCATACGTCATAATGATGACCTGAACATGATTAATCAATCTTGAAGTACCAGGCACGAAACGTGGAATTTGGCCACCCGTCAATTCTAGAGGACGTTCATATTGAGGTAGATCAAATGTCCCTACCAATGTATGTTATTTTGAATACAAATAGTATAACAACTGTTTCAGAAAAAAATGAAGGAAATTGGCAAAATCATTACAGAGAGAAATAAACAACGAGTGTAGTAAAAATACTAAGGAACAATTGTGAGACAGTCAATATTATATTGCATCCAAATGTCAATGCCGAAAGATGAAAAGGAACACTTTTTGCTAGGACAACTGTATAAGACAACTGCTGTATCGATATAACAACAGTTTAGGTAAGCCAACTGTGAGAGATACACTATTAAGCTTATTTGCTTATAACCTGGTTTTAATGAAGTATTTCACATAACTTAAAAACCATTCGTTTTTACGTATAAAATAAATTATCGGATTCGTAATTTACGCTCCCGATGTACACAGGAAACCAGTCTTTGTCGTTAGGGAGCCCTTATGGGTTTTAGAGTCAAAGTAATATTGGATTTGAAATCGAAGCATCCAATTTACTTAAGAAATGGCGCTTCGGATCACAGATTCTTGTTTATGGTACTATTGAAATCGTCATCCAAAATACGGAGCAGATTCCACTTTTTTGAGCGAAAGTTTCTTGTTCCTGCACTTTATGTTATTATACAATGGGTGGTCATTTACAAAAGCATCGCAGAGCGTGTAACGTACTCAATATCCAAATATCGCTAAAATATATAAATATTTGTCATGTAGCCGAGCTTTATTATATGATTTCTCCGTTGTCATCAGGATCAGAATCTTCTTAATGATAGAATGTCTTTGAATAATACTAAAGACTTTACATTTACAGTCACCTACCCCCTACAACCCGTAAACACCAAGTTTCAACCTCTACAAAGAATTCTCCGAAAATGACCAGGAGCCTCTGAATCGTCGAAAAACGAAGCTTAGGCGAGTTTTAGTTCCGTGTTTTTGCTTCTAGCTCCGCCACCACGGGACCGATTTTCGAAAACTTTTTATCCTTAGCATATCAGTAGCTTTGGGCGGTACATTTCAAGTTATACGTGGTTATAGATTTCTCTTTTTATTGGCCATTCAGATAGAATGGTAAATAAAAATATACAAAACCTATTAAAATACAAATATAATATTACATAAAAATGTATATAAACAATGATTTACGCAATATAGTCTGTAGGACATGGTCTCCGAATCAAGACATGAAGACAACGATAGAAGATAATAATATTGGCATCTGTTTCTCTGGAACTCTTTCATGTACGGTCTAACAGATTATGATATACAGAGCCTCGTAGCTTAGATACCTAAATGAATTGAGCTGCAACTTCCGTGCACCGTAATTTGTGAGATACAGTACGTATCTTTGGTAATTCTTCATCGTCGCAACACAGTCTTACCGACTTTCTAACACGGGACGATTCGACTTAGATATATAACTTAGGTTATATCCCCATGTGTACGAGAATCTTTGAGAAACACTTTCTGGATTAAGAAATAAAGACAATGACAAAAGAGAAACTATTGAGATACTATTCTTTGCAAGCTCTCCATCTCCGGTCTCACCGATTTTGTTGTAAAGAAGATTGTAACTTGGATAAATGACTCGAATTGCAATTTCTGTACGGCAGAATTTGTGAGATGCAGTATTCGAATATAAAAATTGGGTTGTATCATCTTTGCACGAGAATCTGTAGGACACAGTCTCCGAATTAAGAAATATAGATAACGATAGAAGAGATAGTATTGATATCTGGAACTCTTTTGTGTTCGGTCTTTTGATGTACAAAATTTTTGTAACTCAGATAAATGACTTGAGCTGCAACTTCTGTGCACCTGAATTTGTGAGATGCAGTCTCCGGATTAGGAAATATAGATAACGATAGAACAGAGAATATTGATATATGTTTCTCTAGAAATCATTCATGTTATCTCGGATGATATCCAGCTTTATCAACTGTTGCCTCTTTTGTGTGCCACATACTGTGAGGTACAGAGAGTATTAGAATATCTGCTCTGCTCTGTCTCACTGATTTTGGTCCTGAGAATGTTGTCACTGGGTGTATGACCAGTTACATCTTCTTGGTACCATACTCCGTGAGACACACTCTTCGAACCCAAGAAATGGATTGACGCTATCGAGGATTGCTTCTCTGGACAACGAAACTCGCACCATCTTATTTTATCCAGTTTGACTGATTGTTTGTTCCCTTAGTAATTGCAAATAAATGCACAATTTTAGTTGCCGCTTCAAGGTACCACAATCTGTGAGGATACAGTCTTCGAGTTGGGAAGTGTAGACAACGATAGAAGAGGAAATACCGAAAAGGTACGTTTGTCGTAATTCTTTATCGTTGTTATACAAACATGAATGTTTAGGCTCGCCAACTTTGGTAAAGGCAATGTATCTATATATGTATAACTTCAGTTGCGTCTCATGTATATTAAAATTTCAGTGACACAGTCTCCGAACTGAAAATCATCAACATCGTTAGCAGAGAAGTTTCACCGACTTTGGGTTGCACACAGGATACAATAAGATGTACAATTCAGCGCACTGTGAACATTTGTGTGAGAAACGAACTGAAAAAAAACAAGAAACAAACTGTTTGTTGTCAATTTGTTCGTCTGAAACGTGAAGAAATAATGTTTGAGAGATTTTTATGTCTTTTTGTTGGTGACCTCTTTCTCTTCTGCGACTGGACCGATTTTCAAATATCAGCCTTTACGTCCTTGGCATTGTAGCAACATTGTCCTAAAATTTAATAAAAAACCGAAAGGTACTTCTCAAGTTATAGGCACTTATAAGATTAGCGGACAGACCGACGGAAATGAACGAAATGGTTTTTCGTGAGATACATGTCATACGACTATTAATAACCAAAATACATAATATCTTATTTTAGGTCAGAGTGTCACTGTGGGGGTCAAAGATACACTTTTCTAAATAATTGTGTTTTGAACAAGTTTGTCATGCTAGCCGAAAGATCAGTACAGCCATTTACCAAACACCTGCGGTTCGATTTGAGGTATGTTTTCATTTAAACTAGTTGCAAGCACATGTTGCGCAACCTGTTTAAGTGGAAATGCATCGGGTGGGACACATCTGCCGGAAGCATGCTCAGATCCTCAGAAATGTGGACAGCATGTTGCAACACATGTTGCCGAATGCTTGTCGTCAGTGCTTGAGCCGCAACATGTTGCAGACCCTTTCCATGACCGGCACGTCGCTACGGCGCAAAATACAATATTAACAAGTAAATTTTTAATAAAATGTCGTCAAGTAAGTTGACTCTGCACTTTCTACGCTTCGTTGTCATCAGTTCGTAAATAATTATGTTCTGCACAAGTTGGCCCCTCTGGGAAAAAAATTAACTACGAACACATATAATAAAAAAATTAAAGGGATCAAGTTAGTCAAACTGACCCACGCTATTAGAATTTGCATATTTTGTACAATTTTGGAGCACTTTAGGGTTTGGCTCCCGGAGAAAATATGCTCTGCCTCGCGCTTCAAAGAGTTTTGGAGGTCGTTACGCATTCACACAAAAGTTATCTCTTATCGCTGGATGACCCTCCCCCTTCCTCTCAGAAGGATACCTGCAGGCACATATGCTGCTACACACATGCATCCTCATGGTTTTCACTGGGTTACGTTCGTTTTGTTGAAGAGCAAACAACGCCTATTTCTGACTGTTATTGTAATAAAAACCCATATTCTGATCCCTTGGGATAAACATAAATGTGTGTTTTGATGAATTTGTTCTGTATCATAGGTAATGAATATTTTGATATTTTGAATAAGGACTTTAGTAGATGTTCTTACTCGGTGAAGGTTCTATATACCTACTCATGAATATGTTTGAGTGGATTTTATGTTTTGCCAAATTACGAAATTGATATATTCTGTTTTTTTTTGATGTTATATGACATGTACATAATGAAAAAACATGTCATGCATTTCCGTCGATTTGTCTGTCTGTCCGCTAATGGTTAGCACCTGTATAACTCAGGAGGCATTGATGAAGTTTTGCCACAAACTTACTGCTATGCCAAAAACGAAAAACCGTTATAGGCTTTGAAAATCGATCCAGTGGCGGCAAATCTATGGACAATAGACGAAAATAATAAACGGTCGTTTCAGTGTTTCTTGTTCATTTGCAGAAAAATATTTTGAGCGGGTTATTGTCTTTTTTATGAACCATATTTGTCATTGTGTACGGATACTTACAAATATAAGCCGCGTGTGGATGCACGAGCATTCAACGCGATCGAAGTCTTCGAAACTCCTTATACCGCCAAGGAGTAAAATCTTTGCCAAGGTACACATCACTCTTTGAAATATTATCTATAGTATCAGTTTTTTTATATACTATGTTATTATATACCTGTATTGTATTTTTTAGGAACATAGATCATCATAATGCAAATTCACACATGACTTGAAGTCAAATCAATGACTCCATCAAATATTACAGGTGATCTATTGAAACCTGACTCAACTTGCTTTTTGTGTAACATCAAAGATAAAAAAGCAAGCACTTATTTTTAAATGATGTATAAAACAGACTTTGATTCTATCATGACGTTTTCTCAGCTGTTTCAAATATCAATAAGGATGAAAGTAAATGAAGAAAAGTCAAATGATTATTCAGAACAGAAATATTGTTCACGTAAGTAGCTCATTGAGTATGTGCTTTATGAAGCAGCTCCAAATGATCTAGAAAACAACATTTCATATTTTTTAATACAATAGATTCAAAATGTCATTAAGCGTTTCAGTGTAAAAGAAACAACGAGTGTACTGAAAAGACTGAGGATCAGTTGTAAGAATATTATATTACATCCAGATATCAATGCGTAAAGATGAAAATGGGACACTTTTTTCTAGCACCACTGTATAAAACAACTGCTGTATCGACATAACAATAACTTAGGTAAACCAACTATGAAATATTATACTATTGAGCTTATCTAGTTGTAAGCCAGTTTTATGAAAATATTTCACATAAATTAAAATGCATTCGTTTTTACGTTAAAATAAATTATCGGATTCATGGGTTCTAGCGACAAAGTAACGTGTGATTTGGAATCGAAGCATCTAATTTATTCAAGAAATGGCGCTTCGAATCACACAGAACCATGGTTTTTTTGTCTATGAGACTATTGAAAGCTCCACCGAAAATAGAGAACATATTTTTTTAACGAAGGTTTCTTGTTCCTACACTTTATGTTGACGTACAATGAGGTATCCTGTGGCTCCCTGCATCAAAATTTTGTAAAGATGCGTCTTATCAGCACGTTATCGAATTCTATGATAAAAAAGGAAAAATGATCTAGTGTGTGACATGATTACTCATTCACCATTCTGACTAAACGTTTTTAGATATAATTACTCTTTCAAGAATTTTTGCCACGTAATATGACATTAACAATCTGTTCCTGGAAAGAATCCAAGGGACTTTACCTCCAGAAAGAAATAAAATGGAGACACAATCTATAAAACAAGAATAATACAAGGAAAATTAACACAAGAAAATTATGTACGTCTAGGCAATATTCAGCCAATCTGCTAAACTACACTTTTATGTATTTACCACCGTTGAAAGAGTCTCTGGGCACAAGATGGTCGATAACAAAAAATTAAAAAAATGGTCCCAAGTATCGTGTCAAGACGCGAAATCGATTCGTGATTAGATAGGTTCAATTAGGTACGATAGATCTTAGACTTCTGCATATAAAGCAAATCGACCATATTTCTGTTTCCATGGCAGATGTAGGGAAGATATGTATTACTTATTATAGTATCACTGGGATCAGCAGCTTCTTAATAATGAAAGGCTTTTAACTGATACCACTTTCAAATTTTGAACCTCTTATCATTTATGATGAATATTAACGTTCGCTAGAGGGTTGTCATATACTTTAACACAAGTGATACATTTTAAAATGATACAATTCACACAGTTGTTTCATTCCAAACATTAACCTGATAATTCACTGACAGGCATTCCGATTGTAATTGTCCCCAAAACTTCTTCTCGTTAATTAATTTTCAATATGTTTGGGTGTATTGATAGTTTTAACACATAACGATGGTATGTGTCGTTATCAATAAACCCAATGTTTCCGTCCGATTGGTTTTATAATTGTAACAAGTGCTCTCATCTCCACGTTCGTTTTGAAACACCATTTGGCTGCAACCTCAACGACGAATCCTGATGAAGGCTCCATAAAGAATTGCCGAAAGCTAGATTTTATCGTCAAAAGAGTTAAGCCTAAAAATTTGCCAATTTCCCAATTAACAATTAACTGTATATATATATACTGATAAACAAATCTTTATGTTGTATTTAAACAATAATAAATTAAACCTAACTAAAAACTACAGAAACTGCCTGCAATTTGTACAAGCCTCCTTACTATGTTATTCCTGGTATTTATCAAATCATTTCTGTTCATCATGTTTTGAACTTTCTGCTTTTCTAATTCTTCCTTTTCGCTTTCATGTTCCAGTCTCTGTTGGTAAAATTGTTTCCTATCTTGTTCTAATATTGCATTTTAAATGTAACAATATATTGACTTTCTGTTGTATATATATATTTAAATGTGTTACCTTTGTTAAAGCGAATCAGAATATTTTCACAACTGTAGGGTATTATCATTCATATCAAACTAGAAACACAAAAACTACCTATTTACATTAGAAAAATAGAACATTATAATAAATTCAAGGACAGTGTGAAATTACTTTTGCAGAACAACTGCTTTTACTCAATACACGAATATTTGGATGCCGAATTCTAGGTGCTTTAGCAAGGGTGGGTGTGTTTGTAAGTATACATTTTATCTGTTGTAATGTTTGCTGTTTTTTTATGTTTTACCTAATAATTTATAGTATATATGACTTGCCATATACACTATTGTATCGCTTTGGTTAAAAATAAAATACAAATACAAATACTATTTGCAATTTTATATCAACAGTATTTCCGACAATATCAAAACATGAACATTTCAAGATAAATTCAGAAAATTTAGCGTCAAAATGACTTACCTGTCGCCCTCGAATTTCGAAGCATTTATCGGCACACAACTTACTAGGTACCTACCTCGGAAGAGGTTGATTTCGTTATTTCTTTCCTGTACAAGAAATTTTAGTATGCACTCTGGAATAAATGCACACACATATTTTTAGTAATTGTAGTTTTTATTTCCCGAAATCCCGTACCATCATCTAGAATAGATTTGGCTGCGAGTACGCCTCACTAATTTTTCGTTCGTTCAGTGGTGTCGCATTTAAAAGGACAATTTGGGATATGTGCAAACAGATCAACAAAAGATTTCCCCATATTATATGATGAGCTCTTCTATCAAACAACTACCAATTCGACAGGTGGGCGAGTTGGGCAGTCGTTAAAGGCATTCAGCCCACCCCCCAAAAAAAATTATATCCGCAAGGTGGCAGTACAATGACGATATTCATGATTAAATCGAACGCCGGGCCCACTGGGCTCTGAAGACGCCTACCCATCGCCGTGTGATTACACAACGTTGCCAGAACGGCGCACCGGCCTAGTCATCCTGCCGGCGCCAGGCTATATGGGATTTTGGTAAATTGTCACCGTTTCATACAACTACCTGTCAACTGACAGCCTGTCAGTTCGCCAGTCTTGGAAATGTTATATTCTAGAATAAAGCACTAGTAAGAATGAGGTAGCACCTGACCTTTCAGTCCATTTAAAAAATGTTCCAAAATTATTGCACCCATGAATTTCAGCTAGCTAACGTGACCCGTTCAAACAAAAAGTAGAGAGACCATTGAAAAGCACTGTATGTATATAAGCTACTTTGAAAAAACAGACATCATAGGTAGTATAAGTTTATTCACATATATACAGTTTCAGTGGACCCAACAATCCAAATGCATACATATAGACAAATAAACTTCAAAATCCCACTTAAGTATATATACCTGCTAGATACAGATATGAGCATCCCTACTAATATTATAAATGTGTGTATGTTTGTGTGTTTGTATGTTCCGTTTTCACGCCAAAACGGCTGAACCAATTCCGATGCATTTTGGAACAGATATAGATCAGACCTTGGAGACGAAGGGGTTGAAATGGGGGTAAATGTGACCATGTGCAAATTTTAGTTCGTGATATATATATTGGTTTTTATATATGAGCAGCAGACTTTCTAATCGCACTTTGTCCATATTTTAACATGTTTGCCCAAAGGTGGCGTTCGATTCATGGCACTGCTTACTACAAGATTCTAAACTGAAAAACATTCGAATCGCACTATTTTCAGTAGGTATTTGACTTCAAAAGTATCCTAGACAAGCTAAACGCACTTAGTCCGATGGCAAGAGACAATCAAATAGCAATATAACGGACAATGTGCGATTTGTCTGTCTGTCAATGCTGTAGTACAACGGTATTAGCTGTCAAATGAGAGTGCTGTTAAGTAGTGATAGCGCAAAAGATATTATTCTATGAATAAATTAGAACAACATGAGTGATGGAGAGCATGTGGTTGGCGATGTTGATCGAGTTGCCAGGGGGAGGAACATGAATGCTACCTCAAACGGTATTAAAGGTTCACTTAAAAAAATGCAGGAACTTCCGAGGCCAAAAGAACAATCATAAAAAGACAAACATCTAATAGTGGTGAAGGTGAAATCTTGTATAAGACCGAACTATTATACAGAAATGATGATCCCTCAAAAAAGTTTATCTACATTTTTAGTAAGTTTATCAGGCCAAGACTGGGTAAGAGATCCAGAGATAACCTGGCTTGACCCAATCTTAAAAGATCTGTATCGGGAACATGGTGATAATGGAAGAAAGGCGCAGAGCTGTGCCCACGGTGAAGATGACGAAGAATGTTGCTACCTGGCGGAAGACGACTTACATGTAATATAATTGGAATAGAACTGTTTGCTTTAGAATTTTAAGTTTGAAATCATTTTTCATTTATGGACAAACAGACTGGCTTATGTCCATTGTGGACATTCAAAGAGCCCTTTGTCCATTAATTTTTTTCATTTTTCTTAGTAAGCTATTAATATTTGCTGAGCCTTGTTACTATAGCAAACTGTTGATAATAAAATACGTTTTGTCATGTGTTACTCGTTTTTCGAATGTTAGCAATAAGCTTACAGCAATTTTTCCCCTTTCCTGTAAAAAGTCCAAAATGGACAATGTGCGATTAGAAAGTCTGCTCCTCATATATTTGGTTCATACATATAAATTAAATGAGCACTCACAAAGCAATTTTGGAAATTCCACCCCCAAGCAAGGGTTGAAGCGAGGTGACGCCCTTTGTACTGAGAAACCTAAGCTATTTCAAATAGCCCAGAAGTAGGGGGTATCTTTTGTTTATAATTTTATCTATAAAATAAACTGGCATTAACAAAGGCTTCCATAAATGATATCCTCCAGATGGGGTAGGGAGGGGGGTGAATATTTCTTATCAGCTTTTTGATTTCTTGTCACCGTTTTGATAAATTTATCTCGAGAACTAAGACATACATATGTATATAATATATATTTTCAAAGAATTTCAAAATTTCAGAATTTTAAAATTTTTTAGAATCTTCAAAATTTAAAAAATTTGTAAGATTCTCAAAATTTTACTAATTTAAAGCCTCAAAATTTTAAAAATCTTCATGATTTTCGAAAGTTTAGAAATTTTCAAAATTTATCAAGCTTCAAAATCATCAAAATTCTAGAAATTTTCCAAATTTTTTCGATTTATAAAATGTTCTAAATTATTATGATCTTCAAAATATTGAAAAATTTTGAAACCTTCAAAATCTTGAAAATTTTCGAAATATTCGAAATCTACAAGATTTTCAAATTTTTCAGAATTTATGTTGAATTTTCACACTATGCAATTTTGAAAATTTTCGAAATTTTCTAAATATTTCGAATTTTCAAAATTTATAAAATCCTGAATATTTTCAAATTTACAGAATTTCTATATTTTTCAATAAATTCATAATCTTCTAAATTCTCGGAATTTCCACAATTAATAAAATATTCACAACTTATAAAATATTCACAATTGTCAAATTTCACAATTTTTAAAATCTTAATAATATTAAAAAATTTAAGAATGATTGGAACTTTTAAAATTTACAAAATATTAGAAATTTATTGACGAAATGTATATTCGATCTGAGCATGAGCTTTGAAGTAAAGGTGGACATAACAATGACAATAATAAAATACAAATCAACTATAATGTACTAACTACCGGTTGTTTTGTACCTTTTTATTTATTTGAATCGGTTTGCTTGTACTTTCTCGTGCATACCGCGAGGAATTCTGCCGTCTAAGATTTCGGGCAAAATACACACTTTATAAAAAGATGTTAATTTGGGAACCATTACCTCACACCATACTTGTTCGTCCTTATGTATTCTCTCTACGTGGAAATCTGAATCGCAATAGAGAATAAAATTGCAAAAGGTGCGTCCCGTAATATTCAGCTGCCCTTGAACCTGGTAATAATAATTATGGCTTCTTTTCAGGGATACATTGCCATTTTCTACCGAGTAGCATGAGGTTCTTTTCACGCCATGGATTAGAGATCCCATAATTGAAGGCAGACACTTTATCTCTATTAGGCCTTCCCTGCCGACGAGACCATCCGGTGAAGCTGCTAAAAAAGGATACTCGTGACTCACATAAAGTCCGCACGCTTCAACGGATGATCCCGTTTCCGTTTCATACCTATTCCTGGCTGTAACCTCATGTACCCTGCCATACACAATTGCTGGCGTTTTTGACTAAGTTGTGGCAGGGAGTAGACGCTCTTCTTTTAATTACACAGCCGAAATTTGATGCAGTCAAATATTCTTTGCGTAGACTCCTCCATAAAGTATTTTGATGCTGACTCCTTGTGGAGGTTTCTATTTCTTTAGTCTGCTCCCTTGACTCTACTCGCTTGGCTAGAGTCTGCAGAAACTTATCTTTCTTCTTTTCCATCTCGTCCTCGCTGATATCCTCGGCAGCTGCATTAGGACCGTAATGCACGTCCGGCCCACTAGAAGCTTGCTTTTTTGGTCTTTTCTTGCAGACTACTCTACTCCTTTCCAGCGCCTTTGCTCTTTTCAGACAGACTTTGGCCATGGTGGCTCCTATGGAGAAGTTCTTCTTCTCGAAAGCCCCCATGTGCCACCCTGGACCTCTGGAATGTGATATAGCTGCTGCGTAGGCTCTAGCTGTGTAGGAATTCCGTTTCGTGAAATTGACTCGCTTACCGTACATTTAGCAACTAGAGACATATATCTGCAAATTAAAAACACGGTTCATTAGTTTTTAATATATTTAACTCTTTTAAGTCAAGTTCCAGACTGGAACGCAGCAGCAATAAATCAGTGGCAGTGAATATTATGCTACTTTCTTCCAATTTGGCTACTGCACCGTGTTATTTATGAGATTTCTGGCAATTATTTCAGTTTCATTGATTGAGAATTGGTTATTTTGGATAAGTTTCAAAGACCTGAAAATGGCAGTTTCAGATAATATTCAATTCAACTTTTGAGTAGTGCATATCATTGTAAATTAATTCATCAAAAGATGAGCTGATATCAAGAAACGCGTATACCACCTTGTGGTTATCAAGGAGAAGTGATAAATGTGTAGCAAAAAGTATGAGATAAGCGTGATTTTTTTACCTTTCACCTTGATTTGTTGTTTGATTGTGTGCCAGTCAATCAGCTTTCGTCACGATGGGCTCCAGGATCTTTTTTAATTCAAAATGGAGTTTATCTCCCATAAATTACACCCAAGAAAAGAGGTTTCTTTGTCTCAGCACCAATAATAACAGCCTTAAATATTTATCATTAGTATAAGGTATGTGATCAGGAGGGATTTAACTTACTACACCAGAAGAGGCATTATATCCATGCCCGTAGGTCCTTTTACTCCATCCTCCGTTAGCGATAACGGTGATGTATGGGGTACCATCAGGCATGAGATTGCCTTTTTCAATTGCAACCCGTTTCTCTTCAATGCCAGCAGCAGAAGGATAAAAAACTTCTCCGACAGCCAGGCTGCAATGAAGGCACTAAGTGCCTATCAGATCACTTCGAGCCTTGTATTGCAATGCAGGGAGGCTCTGGATTGTCTTGCAGCGTGGCATCTGGTATCGTTAGTGTGGATACCGAGGAACCGAGGCACGCTGCGATAAAGGGAAATGAGACGACGGATGCTCTGGCGAAGACAGGATCAGTCAGCAAGCAAGTTGGCCCTGGGCCAGCTTTAGGGGTGCCCGCGCTAAGGGTTAGGAGGGAAATGGAGAAGTGGATTGCAAGAAAACACTCTCCGAAATGGAGAAGCATTTTGAGACATCGACGTCAGGCACGGAAACCAGCGCTAAGGATAGTCGTTTATGCTTATGTTTGGATAGAGCCAACCTAAGGTTGCTGGTGGGACTGTTGTCTGGCCATAACACGTTAAGGCGACACCTGCACGTGATGGGGGTGGCTGAGTATCCCTTGTGTGAGCGCTGGGGGGAGAGGCAGAGACCTCGGCTCTTAGCTACTACAGGCAGACTATACTGGGGTCCATCGCTTTGGACACCCAGGACGTTAAGGAGCTTGAACTCAAGACCATACTCAACTTCGCTAGAATGACGAGGTTTGAGGTCTAAGGAATGTCGAGGTGCACAAGGGCCCCTGTAAGTGGCCCATGCGCTGGCTCCTTATGGTGGCCGGTATGTCCCTAATTCCATGTTTCATTTATTCATTCAAGTTATTTAGTGTTTCAGGGAGCTAGTCTCAAAAATATTTCACATATTTAAAATGTTCAAAGTTCGTTTCAGAGGCTCCTGTCCTTTTTCAGGAAAAAATATGTTGGTTTACTCAATCTAAGTAAACGGTTTTGAAAATTTTAATGATTGCGTTTTGGTTTAATCAAACTAGCTTCATAGATTAAAGTATACTGTTTTAGAAGCCGGAGTTTTATTAAACTAATGAATCTTGTTAGCTGTCACACAGTTAATAAAATTTTTTAATTGGACTTATTAAAATTTTACTTTGTTTTAATTAAATTCAGCATATCGGCCAATATAAATTGTAATGTTACTGATACAGACCATACGTCATAATGATGACCTGAACATGATTAATCAATCTTGAAGTACCAGGCACGAAACGTGGAATTTGGCCACCCGTCAATTCTAGAGGACGTTCATATTGAGGTAGATCAAATGTCCCTACCAATGTATGTTATTTTGAATACAAATAGTATAACAACTGTTTCAGAAAAAAATGAAGGAAATTGGCAAAATCATTACAGAGAGAAATAAACAACGAGTGTAGTAAAAATACTAAGGAACAATTGTGAGACAGTCAATATTATATTGCATCCAAATGTCAATGCCGAAAGATGAAAAGGAACACTTTTTGCTAGGACAACTGTATAAGACAACTGCTGTATCGATATAACAACAGTTTAGGTAAGCCAACTGTGAGAGATACACTATTAAGCTTATTTGCTTATAACCTGGTTTTAATGAAGTATTTCACATAACTTAAAAACCATTCGTTTTTACGTATAAAATAAATTATCGGATTCGTAATTTACGCTCCCGATGTACACAGGAAACCAGTCTTTGTCGTTAGGGAGCCCTTATGGGTTTTAGAGTCAAAGTAATATTGGATTTGAAATCGAAGCATCCAATTTACTTAAGAAATGGCGCTTCGGATCACAGATTCTTGTTTATGGTACTATTGAAATCGTCATCCAAAATACGGAGCAGATTCCACTTTTTTGAGCGAAAGTTTCTTGTTCCTGCACTTTATGTTATTATACAATGGGTGGTCATTTACAAAAGCATCGCAGAGCGTGTAACGTACTCAATATCCAAATATCGCTAAAATATATAAATATTTGTCATGTAGCCGAGCTTT